GGGGGCCGGCCGGGTCCCCCGCTGAGGGGCGCTGTGTCCCCTGCGCCGCTCGCCCGCCCGCCTCACCCTTGGCTCTTCTCCGTAGGATGGCTCTCTGCTGGCGTCGCCCTTCCTCAAAGGTTTCCTGGCAGGCTACCTGGTAGCCAAGCTCCGCTTCTCGGCCGTCCTGGGCTTCGCGGTTGGGACGTGCACAGGGATTTACGCTGCTCAGAACTACGCCGTGCCCAACGTGGAAAAGACAATCCGGGAATACGTCAATTCCTTGAAAAAGGGCCGGGACTAGCGAGGAGCCGCTCGGCAGCAGTGACTGTAGAACAGTGTTCCTTAGTTAGCAGGTGCACAGGATTCCTTAGGGCTGTCAGAGGCACGGCACGGACACCGTTCTTTTCCACTGGAAAAGGGCCTTACAGCACATCATTACGAGACATCAGCAGGTCTGGTTATGGGGTATTTATTACTGTGGTAGAAGTGATCACTAACCCACTGTAGCCTGGAAGCACCATCAGCCCATGGTTTTCCAGCTGCCTTTAACCCTCACCCCACCTCTCTCCCCATGCCCCTGCGGACTGAAGGGCTGCCTGTGACATACCATCACACTCACCACACATCCCTCCTCCTGTTGAGCACATGCTTTGCCTTAGGAACATGCTTGGTGTGGCTTCCAGGGGAAGCTTCTAGTTCTCTTCCTTATGAAAACCAAAATCATTCTCCTCTGCTGCACCAGAAGTGTAGCAGGCAACCTCTTGTCTTAATTAGGCTCATTAAATTCATGAATGTTCTAGGCTGCGAGTCTGTCTGGCCCCTCTGCACTAAGAGCAGCTCGCCCCTGCTGGCTACTGCCTGAAAATGGTGATGTTTGGTAATGCTGCTGCCTTGGCAAGGTGGGTGCTCCGGAGAGGGCTGTGGGGACTGATGCTGCTCTTGTCCGTAGTTATATATGGCTCTCACGCCCCACTCCTGACCCAGAGCAAGGTGGACGGGATGATCCCCTTCAGCTCCACGTGCATGGTGGTTCTTGTGGAGCTGACAAAGCTGGTGGTGTCCCTCCTGTTCCTGCTGCCCTGGGACCGGGAGCTACTGGGAGCTGCTGTGTCATGGCGCCACGTTGTCCCGTTCGCCCTCTCTGCCCTGCTCTATGCTGCCAACAACAACTTGGTGGTTCACATGCAGCTCTTCATGGATCCCAGCACCTACCAGGTCTTGAGTAACTTGAAGATCGTCAGCACTGCGCTCCTCTACAGCCTCTTCCTGCACCAAAGACTCAGCACACGCCAGTGGCTGGGCCCTCTGCTTCTGGGGGGTGGGGCTGCTGGGGTGAGCTACAGCTGCGGGGGCCTGCAGGACCCTGGCAGCCCCTCCGAGATGAAGCTGCACATCACACTGGTGGGCTTGGTGCTGATCTCCGTGTACTGCCTGATATCAGGCTTGTCTGCTGTCTACACAGAAGCCATCCTGAAGAGCCAGGTGCTGCCTCTCAGCCTGCAGAACCTCTTCCTTTACTTCTTTGGGGTCCTGCTCAACTTGATCGGCTACTTCTGGAGCAGCCCAGAGGGTGGTTTCTTGGAGGGCTTCTCTTCCTGGGTACTGGTGATTGTGGTCAGCCAGGCCCTGAATGGCTTGATCATGTCTGTGGTGATGAAGCACAGCAGTAACATCACCAGGCTCTTCATCATCTCCTGCTCTATCCTGGTCAATGCCCTCCTGTCTGTCACCCTCTTCAATCTGCAGCTCACCCACCTCTTCTTCATTGCTGTCTCATGTATTGGCCTTGCTGTTCATTTGTACTATGGGCTCACATAGCTGCTGCCTTCCTGCCCTGCGTGTGCCAGGGCAGCCTTTGGTTGTTCCTCAGGGGTGTTCGGTGCTGGTGTTCGAACCCCAGCAGTGCTGCCCGTCAGCCTCCCAGCCCTGCTGTTTGCAGGGAGTCATTACTGGTACGTGCATGCACGACTAGTGAGGAGTGCTGAGGGGGAGAGTACCCGTCCCTGTTCCCAGGGGGAAAGCTGGGTCCTGCTCCAGCTCTGTGCCATGGGATTCCTGTGCAGTCAGGCATGCCCAGGGTCAAGGGTCCTGAGCCCCTTGTTTGTGTGGTCTCTTGTGTCCTCAAGTTGCTTCCTCAGTGTACCTATCTCTTGTGCCTGTGCTCCTGCACTGCTTAGCTCTGCTGTGGGCTGCCAGGCCAGCGTTGGGCTGATGCCATTTTGGCTCCTGTGGATGGTACTAGTGCCAACCATCAGCACAAGGCCGGGTGCTGCTCCCTGCGGAGCCCTGTCTGGGGCATCTCTCCCACCTCTGTGGTTTTCCAGCCCCAGCCCCTGCCTGAAGGGCTGCTGTCCTTAGGCCCCATTTCTCCTCCTCAGGCGTGGTGTCACTGCTCTTTATGGAGCTGATGGGGAATGGGGGGATGTGGGAACTGTGTCATTTGCTCCCCAAAAAGGGAGACAGCACTCACATTTGTACTGATGCTGTAGCTAGTGATCTCCTGGCATGCAGAAGTCACTGCTGGCTCTGGCTGAGGTTATTAAAGTTGTGGTACAACACGTGTGTCTGTCCTCCCTGCAGGAGTTTTGGCAGAGGTTTGGGGGCCAGGGACATGACCCTCATCAGTGAGGGGCAAATGCTTTATTCATGGAATCCCAGATGGGTTTGGGTTGGAAGGGACAAAGCTCAACCACTTCCAACCCACCAGCCTTCCCACCGTGCTCACTGCTGCAGACCATGCTCCTGCAGCCCATGTCCAGCAGTGGAGCAGGGTTTTCCCTGGGGAGCAGAGGGGTCAAGCACTTTCCCCACAGCCTTTCTGCCAGCAGCCACCCTCCCTGGGGCCAGTTTTCCACAGGGAGCAGCTTGGAGCAGCCAGAACAGGCAGGATGGGAGGCCTTGCCCTGTGTAACTGCTGGGGCTGGCCAGTCCCATGGTATGAGGGCTGGTGGCTCACTCCATGGCCCTCCATGAGGTGTCAGGGTCTGCAGGGACCCATGCTGCTGTCCCCAGCGCCCTGGGGTGCTGGCTCAGGGTGTCTGTGTGCAGGCATCAGCTGATCCTGTGCCTCTGGCATCTGGCACCTCCTGCAGCAGCACCCGGTGCCAGTGGTCCAGGGCCTCTCTCTGCTCCTCTGCCAAGTGCTGCTGGTCCCGGAGCACCTGCGGGATGCAGGGGGCTGCCTGGCACAGTTCTGCCAGGCTAGAGCAGCGTTCCCAGCCCTCCCTGCCCACCTGCAGCAGGCACTGCCTGCAGCACTGCAGCTCCCGCCGGTGGCTCTGCAGCAAAGCCTCCACATCCTGCTCCTGCCGCGCTGCCTCTGGGCTCAGGCCCAGCGCGGCCATCTCCTGCCGCCAGCCAGCTGTGTCCCACTGCAGAGACAGGGGTGAGGACAGGGTAGCTCTGGTATCTCTGCTCCCTGGGGCTGCCCTGTCCTGTGAGACAGCACAGAGCCCACAGCGATGGGTTCCCTGCTCGAGTGAATCCAGGGCGGGCCACAGAGCTGCTGTGAGGGCTGGAGCAGCTCTGCTCTGGAGCCAGGCTGAGAGAGTTGGGATGGGTCAGCTGGAGAAGGCTCCTGAAGGGGAGACCTTAGAGCAGCTCCAGTGCCTAAAGGGGCTGCAGGAAACCTGGAGAGGGGCTTTGGACAAGGGATGTA